AGTAACGAGCGGCCGCTCAGTTGGTCAGTCAGTCGATGCCGGACGACCGTTAGTCGGATACTAAAGTATCAGCGACCACAACTAGATTACTCTGCGTCATACCTATTATATCAAGTTCCTAACGTTTTGTACGTCGAACCTATTTTAGGACCGATAGTACAAATACAAGCCTCCACTGTGAAACCACTCCATAACAGATAGATAGATAGATAGATAGATAGATAGATAGATAGATGTGAACAGACTGAGATAGATATGATCAGACATAGGCCTTTTTCTGGATATAGAATGTATAACAACAGATAGATATAACAACAGTTGAAATGACCTGTGTACACGAATGCATTTGCCAAATCTATGACCCTTTTTCTCAAGGATAATAGGAAAATAAACTGTGGGGTAAGGTACATAGAAAAAGAAATACTCTACGTACTACTAAATGTTACTTATCTTCATTCATTTTGAAGAAAGAGAAAAAGAACATTATTATTTTAGTATAGCATACAATGCGGCCTGGTTGGGCTTTTTTATTACTACTACTTTATGAGGTTTTACAGCTGGTCGTAAGTTCGTGGATACTTAAACATGTAATTCGTTAAGTGAGGAATCATTTTTAGTCTTGTCAGAGGTTTCTGTTGTGCCAAGAAATGTCATGTTGTTGCCAAGTAATTGCATGACGTTCCCTGCATGATATGGCAATTGTCTACCGTCACATATTACTTCGAGAAGAGGTAGCCGCTGTCATCTAACTGCAAATGCACTAGAAAATGCCATGAAGATCTCCGTGTAAAATCAGAAACAGCTTCAGCGGATTTCTAAACCGTCTATTCGTGTGTGTTGGTTATTTCTGCTTCATACTGGAGGGGTTTTTTTCTTCAAGAAATACGGCTTTTTGCTGCACATTGATATCTATATGAGTAATTGACTTTGCGAAGTATATACCAGAAAATTCATTATTAAAAATTTTTTAGATTAACAGAAACAATTCATATAGAAACCAGTTTTAGACAATCCCTTTATTGTGTTTATGTTAACACGAAACTGGCCAGTAAGAACCAGATAGATAGATATGAACAGACTGAGATAGATAGATAGATAGATAGATAGATAGATAGATAGATAGATAGATAGATAGATAGATATGAACAGACTGAGATAGATAGATAAATAAATAGATAGATAGATAGATAAACAGACTGAGATAGATAGATAGATAGATAGATAGATAGATAGATAGATAGATAGATATGAAAAGACTGAGATAGATAGATAGATAGATAGATAGATAGATATGATAGATAGATAGATAGATAATGAACAGTCTGAGATAGATAGATAGATAGATAGATAGATAGATAGATAGATATGAACAGTCTGAGATAGATATGAAAAGAATGAGATAGATAGATAGATAGATAGATAGATAGATAGATAGATAGATAGATAGATAGATAGATAGATATGAACAGACTGAGATAGATAGATAGATAGATATGAACAGACTGAGATAGATAAATAAATAGATAGATAGATATAAACAGACTGAGATAGATAGATAGATAGATAGATAGATAGATAGATAGATATGAAAAGACTGAGATAGACAGATAGATAGATAGATAGATATGAAAAGACTGAGATAGATAGATAGATAGATAGATAGATAGATATGAACAGACTGAGATAGATATGAACAGTCTGAGATAGATAGATAGATAGATAGATAGATAGATAGATAGATATGAACAGACTGAGATAGATAAATAAATAGATAGATAGATAGATAAATAAATAGATAGATAGATAGATAGATAGATAGATAGATAGATAGATAGATAGATATAAACAGACTGAGATAGATAGATATTTAGATAGATATGAAAAAGACTGAGATAGATAGATAGATAGATAGATAGATAGATAGATAGATAGATAGATAGATAGATAGATATGAACAGAGAGATAGATAAGTAAATAGATAGATAGAGATGAACAGACTGAGATAGATAGATAGATAGATAGGTAGATAGATAGATAGATAGATAGATAGATAGATAGATAGATAGATAGATATGAACAGACTGAGATAGATAAATAAATAAATAAATAAATAGATATATACGAACACACTGAAATAGATAGATAGATAGATAGATAGATATGAACAGACTAAGATAGATAAATAAATAAATAGATAGATATATACGAACATACTGAAATAGATAGATAGATAGATAGATAGATAGATAGATAGATAGATAGATAGATATGAACGGACTGAAACAGATAGATAGAGATGTAACCTAGTGACGGTTGCTGAATAGAATAATCACACGAAGGTTGGTAATGGACGATAATACTTAAGACAAGAACAACACATATAAGATTTGTCAGCAGCGAGTAGAAGAAGTAGGCAGCTGCTAGAATTGAGTCAATTGAATTCCACAATGAATCTCCAACTGCAGACTTGCACACTATTTACATTATTCGGAATATTGTCCTCGTTTTTGAGGCCATATTTATCACAACAAGGCGTGGCCTGTCTCCCCTTTATATTTCTTTCCGCAGCTGCACGGGATGGCGTACACACAGTCTTTAGTCATGTTCTCCTCTATGGGGTGGGGTTCTTACTCGGGAAAGGTATCTGCAAAGTGTCGTTCAGCTTTTGAAGGTTATCCTGATGTTATATGGACCGCAGATCCTTTGTATTTTCTCTGATAACCATTTCACATAAACCCCTTATGGTAAGGCTTCAAGAACACCAAAAAGCTGTAACACAAGGGGAAGTGGAAAAATCAGGCGTGGCTGACCACATATAGAGAGAAAAGGGAGATCACCACCCTCTGTGGGATCAGCTTGAAATCATAGACAAAGAACATCATTGGAAAATTCGTAAACTTAAGGAATCAGCACATATGCTAAGCTACAAAAATCTCCTGAGCCGACCAAACATAGAAATGAATACAAAATTGGAACCAGTAATAAGGAGTCCCAGAGAAAAGCAATAATAACAACAAAAATTGAAATATGAACTCTGGTAAAAACATGATTTGATAACAGCAAAAATTGCAATATGAGCACTGGTAAAAATGGTTGCTGAAGACATTAAGATTATAAGTCCCAGGAATTCATACACTGGTGTCCTTAAGAACACATGGCAGAGTAGATAAATGCGTTGGCTAGAAAAAGTGACATGACCCAAAGAGTATTGAGTTCAATACCTGGTTAAGGCAGTGGAGAAGTGAATCAACAAGAGATAACTAATAACTGACATCCATTAGACATGGCACGTGAAACGAGAAGTTTACCCCAGCGAGCGAAATAAAGGGTTCAGTTTGACATTCCAACCACCTGAAGAAGGCCGGATGTACAACGGCCGAAACGTTGTGGTAAATATGTCAACAAAGATGGGGACAACAGTCCGAATAATGTAAATAATGTACATAATACCTCATCTCAGAGATATAGACAGATACTACAGATTTGCAGACCAACACATACAGTATTCACTACTGTATTTATGGGAATGGGGCATAGTCATTATCGTCCATAGATATGATACAATAGATAGATAGATATTAATATATATATATATATATATATATATATATATATTTCAGTTTATTAATATATATATTAATATATATATATATCTCAATATATATATATATATATTAATATATATATAATATATATATATATATATATATATATATATATATATATATATATATATATATATATATAATAAAAAATATATATTTCAGTATATTAGATAGACAGATAGATAGATAATGAAAAGACTGGGATATGTAGATAGATATTAATATATATATATATATATTATAATTATTTTTTAAAAGATAATTATAATCTAAGCTCTACTTCTGTATGGAGCATTGTTATAAAAATAAAAACAAAAATACTAAAGAACATCGGATTATTTACCTAACGTGTTCTTTTCTATTTTTCTACATATCTGCACACACACACACACACACACACACACACACACACACACACACACACACACACACACACACATATATATATATATATATATATATATATATATATAGAGAGAGAGAGAGAGAGATAGATAGATAGATAGATAGATAGATAGATAGATATGAACAGACTGAAATTTATAGATAGATCGCTAGCTAGGTAGATAGATGCAAACAGACTGGGATAGATAGATTTGAAAAGTAGATTGCTGAATGAGGGTATTGTTACGGTGGAAATGGAGGAAGCAAGAAGTTCATATTATGAGGATATGTAGGATAGATATCTTAATATCTATCTACATATCTGACAGTTATTATAAAGCAGGAGTCAGGTGCTTTCTCAACCTGTTTGCCATGGTTTTTCCACCCGAAATACGCCGGCGAAATCCAAGGCAATGCGGCGAGGCAGATCCTCGCTATCCCCACCCCCAAAAGAAAAAGGAGTTCCAGCAATACTTCCTGTAGTGTTATGTTCCTTACGATTCGTCGGTTAGGGGACATTTACGGACCCTGGTTTTTAGTCAGCAGTTTATTTAGAATCCGCAATAAAGGATTATCGTGAAATTTGCGTCTCTTCGCCTTTCCTCTTCCCAGTCAATAATATTACGCTTCCATCACTGGGAACGACACTGGATAAATTGCATGAATTCAGAAGGGGGCTACTTCGAAGGAGATTAGATGTCGAATTGATATGTGTTGTAGTTTTCTTTTCATAGCACCAGTCCTATTTCTTTTTGAACAGACCTCGTATGTCCGCTCGTTGGTCGGTTGTCTGTATTACTTACTGGTACTTATTGACGATGTTAGGTCAGTTTGTCCCGACGAGTGAGCCGAGAGGTGGAGCTCTTCGGACAACAGAGAGATAACGAACCTGACCAGTTTGACAACCCCGGATCATGCCAGCAACAGTCTCTATGGCGACAAATGCATTGTCGTAATTCAGCAATGCTCGATCAGCGTAGAAATATCGACCTATTACGTCACTATATTTTGATGTATACTCTCTTTCTCTTCCTCTCTCTCTCTCTCTCACTCTCTCTCTTTACATTTCTGTCTTTTCCTCTTTTTATGAGCTTTGTCCGCCCCCAATCGCACACCCACTCCTTTTATAAATCCTTCTCCCTCGGTTTTATGTAATAACTTGTCTACATTCTCACTGTGGCGTTTCCTATAATTTCCCTCCCTCCCTCTCTCTTTTACTGACATTCGCCACTTTTTACACAATTTGCAGACGTTATTTCATATAATTCTAGACGTTATATAGGGAGGTTGCCTCTATCTTCAGTAATTAGCCGTTGCTGCATCGAGTGCATAATGTGCAGCATCTCTGCCACAGTTTCTGCCTGTCTTTCTCATTCGTTGTATTTTGACTTTTTTTTTTTAATTATTTGCCCATTCAGTCTGTCCGTGTGTTTCTATCTCGTTTTACGAGCTTCTATAGTCGATTGCCTTTACTTTTACTCATTCCTACATTCACGTGGGCACTTCAACGTGGTTTAATGGTTAACAAGCTTGTCTGGCTAAATCGATTGCGAGTGAATAGTAAGTTCGATCCTCACTGAGTGCCCAATATTATTGGCCTTGTACCACATCTAAGATACGCTTAGAAAATCACAATTTGCAGTCTCTCTCGGTCTGTCTCAAATCTATCAATCTCAATCTCTTCATAACTATCTATCTATCTCAGTTATTTCATACCTATTTCAGTCTTTTCATATTCTATTTTAATTTTCCCATATCTATCTATATATATCTATATCTATATCTATATCTATCTATCTATCTATCTATATATATATATATATATATATATATATATATATCTGTCATTTCATATCTGCCTCAGTCATTTCTTATCTATTTATTTCAGTTATTTTATAACTAAGTCATTTCATATCTATCTTTTTTTTTTCATATCTATCTCAGTCATTTCATACCTATTTGTCTTTTCATTCATTCTATCTTAATTTTTCCATATCTATATATCTATCTGTCTCTCCTCTCGATATATATATATATATATATATATATATATATATCTGTCATTTCATATCTAGCTATTTTTTATAATATTTAAGCCATTTCATATGTATCTATTTCAATTTTCTTAATATCTATCTCAGTTTTTTTCATATATGTATCTATTTCAGTCTGTTCATATCTATCTATCTATCTATCTATCTATCTATCTATCTATCTATCTATCTATCTGTCGCGTCCATGCTCTCCCTCTCCCACCATGTACCTATTCTTTCTTTCTTTCTTTCTTTCTTTCTTTCTTTCTTTCTTTCTTTCTAGCTCATTCTTTTTCTCTTATCGTTTCTCTTTCCCTTTACATTCTCTCTTCATCATTTTATGCACTCTTTCGTTCTCTTTCACATCCCACCCTCTCTCTTTCCTTCTATTCCTCACATTACCATTCTCGCATTCACCATCTTTATTTCTTCCTTTTTCTCCCTACTTTCCTCTCACTTCTTCTTTTATACTTTCCCTTTCTTTCTTTTACACTCCTTTTCACCCCTTCCTCTTACTCATTCTTCTCTCCTCTCTTTCTCTTCTTTCTTTTCTCACATTTATTCTTTCATTCAGTCGCACTCTTTTATGCTCCCCCTCTTGCCCTCTCACTTTTTCATTCTTCCAATCCTCACTCTCCTCTTCATTTCTCTCGGTTTAGACTCCTTTTCCTGTTTCTCTTTTTCTCATTCTTTCATTTCGTCTTTCTTTCTTTTACATGCTTTTTCTTTCTCTTTCGTTCTTTTACTCGTTCTTCCATTTCGTACCCCTCCCCCCTCTCACTCTCTCTTTCTTTCTCACTCTCTCTCTCGCTATTCTTTTATATTTGCTATAATTCTCTCTTTATCTCTTTCTCTATTTTCTGCTCTTGTTCTTATTTCCACTCTCTCTCTCTCTCTCTCTCTCTCTCTCTCTCTTCAGCTTTTTTGTTTTCTTTCTCTCTCTGTCTCCATGTTTCTCTCTCTCTCTCTTCGGCTTTTTTCTTGTTTCCTTTCTCTCTTTCTCCCTCTCTCTCTCTCTCTCTCTCTCTCTCTCTCTTCGACTTTTTTCTTGTTTTCTTTCTCACTCTCTCACTCTCTTCAGCTTTTTTGTTTCCTTTCTCTCTCTGTCTCCATGTTTCTCTCTCTCTCTCTTCGGCTTTTTTCTTGTTTCCTCTCTCTCTCTCTCTCTCTCTTTCTCTCTCTCTTCCTCTTTTTTCTTGTTTCCTTTCTCTATGTTTCTATCTCTTTCTCTCTCTGTCCCTCTCACTCGCTCGCTTCACTCCACATATCTGCGTTGAAAGCCAGATAGACATTTATTCATGCGTAGCGTTTCTTGGGCAAGTAGACCTGGCGGAGCCCATCCCTCACCAGGTCATATCAAAGCCTATGTCCTCCAGTTGGAAGGCTCGCCTTGGTCACGGACACGTAACCGTTGATTCCACCGGGGAAACCGTCCGCCCTGGCCGTTGAAGACCTCCGCCCAGAGATGTCGTGACATCACCATCACGGCTGTTTACATCGTCTACCCCCATTGCGCCTACAAGAACGATCATCTGCCCTTTGACAGGATTTGCTTTTAATCCGGCTGGAGGTCTAGCTACCCTCTTCCGACAGTCTTGTTTGGGAACCGCTTTAGTTACCGATAAGCCAACCATGCAGTAGGCGATACTAGGTTACATAATACCAGTAGGACTCATCGGTTGACCTAACATAAGAACAAGCTCGCAAAGGTAAATAAAACAGTATTTATTGCATCTAATGTTTGTTACCAAAATGGGCGGCCGAGCATGCAAATTGCAAATTGGAAATTCCAGAATTGTACAGGTGCAACAATTAAAACACAGGACGGAAAATGATATACGGAAATCCAAAGGTACATTGTTACAGAGAAATATGCCTTACAAATGCTAAGCAAAGTATTAAGAAACAGAAAAATATCCCTTGAAACAAGGAAAAGAGCGGTGAATTGTTATATAACAACAGTTCTCTTATATAGCAGTGAATGCTGAACAATCTCCTCACAGATGAAGAAGAGACTTGAAATAATAAAAATGTAGTTCTACAGAAGGATGCTGAGAATACCATGGAGCGAACAAGAGAGCAGCTTGTTCTAGAGAAAATGGAAACAAAAAGGAAACTTATACTTAACATCAAGAAAACAGATGAAATTTCTAGAGCACATAATGAGGAAGGAGGGCTTGGAAAATTTGACACTCACAGGAAAGATTGAATGAATGAGGGACAGTGAAAAACAACGCATAACCTACCTGGCGAGATTGTGCAAATGGATGACGAAGAAAGTTTTGGGAGAGATGGCGAAAAGACAAAATTTATTAAGAGCTACGAAGGACTGGAAATTGTGGAGAATCATGTTCGCGAACGTCCTGAAGGGACACGGCATATTGAAGAATGTTGTAGGGCTTAGCGTGGTTTCAGTCCCCCTCCCACTTTTTGTTGAAACTGAAAACTTGACAGAAGACTGAATTTATTCTCTCTATTCAGCAGAGTTGTGGCATTTGTTTAAAATAACCCTTCTTTTATGTCTTGTTATCAGCAACTAGGAGAGATGCCTAGTCTTGAAACTATCGTACTTTGCTAAATAAAACTAAATCATCCACATTGCCTATAAAAGATGGGGACTTTTTACTGAAACTGAAAAATCTTACCCTCAATCTAGAAGTAAAAAAGAAATGTTTTGACGAGACTAACTGTAATAAAATCCACAGAGTTAACAATGACAACAGGCTTCACCCGCTCCTTATCTACATTTTGTTGAAATTGTGAACGAAGCCGAAGATAATTTTGTCTTCTTGGCCTCACTCTATGTTGTGGTGTCCTCCCTCTAAAGATGTTAGACTCTTCCGTCTACTATAAGATTAGTAGGACAGAAGGCTTCGGGGAACAGTGGACTGTGAATAGACTGAGCGCTAGTTCATTCGATACACTCTCACTGGTGTACTTACTGTTTAGTATACGATATATCTGCAAACCTGGTTTTTGTTATTATTTAACTATTTACTTGGTCACAACAGTCTATGAAAATGCTATTGCTATTTGACTAAAATCATTACTGCCAATAATTTTTTAAAATAAATTAATTTCCTTTTTTGTTCACAATAAACAATCTTCATTTTCATTTTTTTCAAAATCATTAGCTTCTGAAACTTTTTATACGCGAAAAATGAGTTCGTGTCTTATTCCAGAAAATAAGAAGCGAAAAGTAAAATAAATTTTGGGGTATTTAAGATTAAAAAAATCTATTTGTGGTTAACATATCGAAAAAATATTAGTTTTATGAGACCAGATAAAAAAAACTAGGAAGCAGGAATCTTTAATCTTAATATTTTATTAATAACTCAATATTTCGTTTCTTTTAATCTCCTACTATCTCTTAGATTTCTCCCAAACATTTGTTCTCGTCATTACTGTTTATGCGTTTCTAACTTTCTTTTCAAACAATTTTATTAACTTCCATTTTTCACCATTGACCCAAAACCTACATTCAGAATATACTTTATTCTCAGCATATTCGCATGACATCTGTCATTGTGTTTCTATTTTATATTTGATAAAGTTATCGTCTACATCTTATTGCTATATTCCAGGAGTTATTCCAGTTCTTCGGCCACAATACTTATAATCTTTTATTGTGCCTTTAAGACTTTCTTTATCAAAACTAATTATTTATAAAGATTTAATTTACTCACACGGTGTATTATTGAGTTCCACTTTTCTTCAAGACTTTGGTGATCATAGCTTTCCACAATCTCCTATACTTAGTATCCTTTTTCTCTTTGCCATAACATCCAATCACACGGAAAAGTGGCCCGTCAGGAAGGTAGCTTCCTTACCCTGTTTCGTGTGCCCCCGATATCCCTTGTGAGTTTCACCGTTCTTCATTATACTTCCAATGAATTTCAGTTCTCTCTTTCTATTTTTCTGTAAAAACTTAACTTGATATTCGCAGCATCCTTCTGTAGATCCACATATCTGTTATCTCTATATTTTTTATTTTTATTTTTTCTACTCCAAGATGCGTTCAAAATTCTGTGTCGGATTTTCCATATCCGGCAGCAAGTTCTCTGATCGGAAGACTGAATTTTTTCGAGAGTGTGGAACCACCACTTAATTACTGTTCTTCCCAGGTCCAACCTGACCCGGGATGGGGGCACCTGTTACGGTCCTACATATGGGCTAATAGTGAACCACAAAAAAAATGTAACTATGAAAAATACATTTTTACAGTCAAAATACCAGCAATACATTTTAAATAGTAAAATTAACAACAATACATATCTCTATCTATAAAAGGCAGGATGTGTGTGTGTGTGTGTGTGTGTGCGTGTGTGTGTGTGTGTGTGTGTGTGTGTGTGTGTGTGTGTGTGTGTGTGTGTGTGTGTAACGAATGCACGGCCGCAATTTTCGACGGATTTGCACCAAAATTAACATGCACATGCTCCAAGTTAGCGCCAAGGCCAAGACCGACTTTGCATTTCCCAACTACCATCGATAGTGGAAATAATCGATTTTTTCATTCTTCTACGGCAGTTTTCATTTAGTTTGCGGCCATTTTGTACTGGCCAGAGTAAGAGCCTATAACCGGCTGCCACGAATAGGCAGGAAGATTCTACTGGCCAGCGTGAGAGCCAACAGCTGACTGACACGAATGTTAACTAGCATGCTAGCATGCAAAAAAAATTGATAGCTGCATTCGTCACAAGTGGGAAAAATTTAAATCTGCATGGCACCTTACTTCAATTGGCTCATTCGCTTGCTTAAACTCAACGTTGATTCTGATTCCGCAGACCTGGGTTAGGTGTGAAAAAGTATTTGTTGTTAACATTCTTTTTTCATTCGGTTTTTCCAGTTACGAGTCCTTTTTTTTAAAGCTGATCGTTTTGTGCTCATTTTGTTTAGTTCTTTTTTCGTAACAGATTTAATGTTTACTATAGAGCTTAGAAAAAAATCGCAGTGTGAGATAGGCAAGAAGTAAGGCATGTAGCAACATCAGCACGGAAAAGGGCACTCCTTTAAAGGCAAGGAAGGGCAAAAATATTTTAAGTCAAGTGATAGCGATTGCTGTATGAGTCGTACGATTTTTGAATCAAGCACGGACAACGCCGTGCCATGGTGCTAGATTATAATAAAATTACCAGCAAAACTGATATGAAAATATATATATATATATATATATATATATATATATATATATATATATATATATATAACCATAACTATTTGCAGTCTTTTCATTTTTTTTTTTTAATTGACTGTTTAAACACAATTACCATGAGAATATTTATTAAAAAAAAAAAGGTGCAGTGGGGCAACCTTACGGAAGCGGGGTGAGGGAACAAGTGACTGAAGCCAAGCCGCAAGATCAGGACCAATAATATTGCTGATTCTTCTTTGGATCTTATCAAGGATCCCCAGGAAAATAGCAGGGTTACCGGACTGTATATGACAGCAATATTCTAAGCATGGACAAATTATAGACTTATAGATATGCAAGATAGATTCCGAAGAGAAAAATTGTCTCGCACGAAAACAGTGAACCGACTTTCTTAGCAGCTGGTCTGGCGATGGATGAATTTCTTTGGATCTTTGCGCTACGACCGAGAGGAGGAGGCTTATAATCTGGGCAGCGCATGGCCTCCATATGTCATCAACCAGACCTCGACCCTGGATTGGTCACAAGTTTCATCACCAAAAGACCGAATTTGGATCAAACAGCGTGATATCATTTTATCACGAGATAAATGGATGCCTACTTATAATATATAGGTGCTCACAGCCCTAAATGGGTTACCACTTGAAATACCAGATCGGATGCGCGGGTGATGTAATGGATAATGACTCGGAATTGTTAATCGAGGGCCGAGTTCCAATTCCAGTTGGGTTCGTTATATTCACGTACGTGCAAATATCCTTGGGACAGGTATGAATCCGCCTCTACACCGCCAGGTATCGGTTAATTAATAAAATTTATATCACTTAATCATTATTATCTAAAAACTTCTTACAGACCAAAAATTATCTTTTGGCTTTAAATAACCTGCAAAGGGTTGATTAGCCGTAGAAAACGAATCAATCAAATACTGAGTATCTACACAGGTATATATTTTAGGTTTATTTACATTCTCTGGATTATAAATGTGTAGAAACTACAATGGTCACAAAGTGAGGGATCATTGTGTATATTGATTATAATATAGAATTAATCACCCACTTTATATCCACATAATAATTTCTTGTTTCCTTATCAAATTCTGATTAGGCATGAATTCACATCTTCTCCCTGCAGCTATC